TGACAGAATCTTTGCCCTTATGAAATTTGGCAGGAGACACAAAGTCATTGGGCAACGGCAATGTTTCTTTAACTTCCTATTTTTGTTGGTGCTTCTTTTGTAAAAAATAAGCTGAAAATTCAAAGTGAATGCTGATACTAGTGAAAAGCCTCATAAATCTAAAGCAGGGGAGATAAGGATGAGCAATAAATACCGTCTTATCTCAAATCTGTTTAGCTTCTCAATTTTAGAATATGAGTAATTTCAAATAGTGGAGTATTTATCTAAATAAACGTATCCAAATGGTATTTATTTATTTATTTTTTTTATTTATTTATTTTTTTTTTGGCTCCGTCAGATGTCTACATCCAAATGGTATTTAGTTCCTGAGCTCAAACAGTGAGAACTAGAATAGTGACAGATACATACAAATGACTAAAGATTGTGTCTATCTAATCAGAGTAATTAGGCATTTCCTAACTTTTATAGCTTTTGGAAATAAGATTGTCCGGTAAACACCACTTGGACGTGTTCTAAGCAACAACCCACATACAGAAGTGAGAGGCTGCCTGGTCTGTTTCCCAGAAACACTAGCCCCCTCTCATGCCAACCTTTGTTCTCAGCTCAGATCATTTACTTCTGTAAAGTTTTTGGTGGCGAAAGGAAAAGACAAAGTAGGGCCAAACAACGTGGCTTTATTCAAGGAAAAGATAAAGTAGGGCCAAACAACGTGGCTTTATTGAGTGCTCCCGGGCAAGGTTCACGGGTCCCAAGAGAGGGGGCCAGAGAAGTTGTGCCATTTGAAAAAGGTGAGGGCTTTTATACTGTCTGAGCGGGGCTGGGACTTTTGGCGGGAAGAACTAGGGATTTTCCACTGTGGCCTTTGTATGTTCTTGAGAAATGGGAGATGGGCTGGCGGTATCTGCAGATTCTAAGAGGAGGGGCTGGCAGTACCTGACAGTTGTTTTTGGCGGGTCTGGTCACATGAGCCTTTTCTTTCTGATCTAGGGAGGGGAGAGGGCCCATCACCAGTCTTACAACTTCCTTCCCTCATCCCCTTCTCAGCCTTCAGGACTCTCAGAACTCTCCCTGACCCCAAGTGTGTACGAACTGCCCCTGCTCTGTGCTTCTCCTGCGGTGGTATTCTTACTCTTTGCAGCCCTTCCCGTGCTGGTGTGTGACTGCCTCTTTACCTGGCTGAATGCTGTATTAATTTGGATATTAATTTGGCTGCTTTAAACACTGACTACCACACCAGAAAAAAAAATTTGTTATGAAAATAGAATAAAAACTTCGAAAATAAAACAATCTTTTCTAGTTTAATGACAAATTTGGGTTTTTTAAAAATTATTTTCTGTGAGTTATATGCAACTTGAAAAATAGTTCATGTGGCTCCCAAGGTGAAGAGATATGTGAGTTACATATGCTTCACAAGGCTCCAGGCTCAAAATTAGCGTGAGTTAAATACAACTCACATCGCAGTTAATGTGTTAACAGAGACCAACCAAAATATAAATGGCCTAAGCAAGGTCACACATAAAAGTCCGGCCAACTGGCCGGGCCCGGTGGCTCACACCTGTAATCCTAGCACTCTGGGAGGCCAAGGCGGGCGGATTGCTCGAGGTCAGGAGTTGGAAACCAGCCTGAGCAAGAGCGAGACCCCATCTCTACTATAAATGGAAAGAAATTAATTGGCCAACTAAAAATATGTACAAAAATTAGCTGGGCATGGTGGTGTATGCCTAAAGTCCCAGCTACTTAGGAGGCTGAGGCAGGAGGATCGCTTGAGCCCAGGAGTTTGAGGTTGCTGTGAGCTAGGCTGACGCCATGGCACTCACTCTAGCCTGGGCAACAAAGTGAGACTCTGTCTAAAAAAAAAAAAAAAAAAGTCCGGCCAACTGACAGTCTGAGGGGTAAGGAAAGTCTGTCGCGTAGGTTACCCAGGGACTCTGACTTCTCATGTTTTATTGCTTTTTCCTTTCCTAGAATGTTGTTTTCATTTACGAGACGGAAGCAGGTTCATCATCACCTCATCAGATTCTAGCCCTGGGAAGGGAAACCTGGACTAAAAAGAACAAGCAGCACCTTCTTTTTTAAACCAGTTGTGGCTTTCTGAGAACATACCCAGAGTCTGCTATGGGGGAGAGCGCGAGTTCGCTGTAGGCTGCCTTATGTTCATGATGGTTACGTGCAGTCCACATCGCTTCCTTTTAAGGATGTAACCAGAGCTGTTCCCATGGCTTCTGTTCACATCAGACTAGCTGGACCTTCGTCACTCTCCTAGCAGCAAGAGCCCTTCTTACTAAAAGGTAGAGGGAAGAATGGATATTATGGGACAATCATCTCTGTCTGACACACACCCCACACTGGGCATTGAGTTCTGAGTTTGTTCACCATTATGTCAGCGGTGCTCAGCACAGTGTTTAATGAAACGGCTGAATGGGGCATCAGGTTGGCTACTTGCTCTAAAGTCATCAAGAGGAAAAATAATTCTTTGTAACTTTTCTGTGTGGTTGAGACTACTGAAAATAAAAATTTTATTCAAAAATTTATCAGTTATTTTATGTCAGCAGTTAAAAAATAATTTTTTTAAAAGACAAAGTAGGGCATTTTCACACAAGGCTGGTCAAATGGGAAGAATCTTCAGCTCCAGCTTGACCTCATTAAGTTGAAAATGATGTGCAACCAAATGAGCCCACATCTGTGTCAAGCTGAAAGTGGACACCTCAGAGTGTGCTGGCCTCTCTGCCAGCTCTATGCACTGGCTGCTGGAGATGTCACTGGCTGAGGGATTGCTGCAGAAGTTCATACATTACTTGATCCTGAAAGGAGGAGAGAAAACAAATGCTGAATGGCATCTCTCCCAAGTTCACATGCTGAAGTCCTAACCTGCAGAATCTAAGAATGTGCTTGTATTTGGAGATAGGGTCTTTACAAAGGTGACTGGATTAAAATGAGCTCATATAAGTGGGCTCTACACCAATATGACTGTGTTCTTATAAGAGGAGATTAGGGTCAGGCGTGGTGCCTCATGCCTGTAATCCTAGCATTCTGGGAAGCAAAGGGAGGAGTGAGGAATACTTGAGTTTAGGAGCTGGAGACTAGCCTGAGCAACAGCAAGTCTATGACTCTACTAAAAATAGAAAATTAGCCTGGTGTGGTGGCATGCACTTGTAGTCCCAGCTACTCGGGAGGCTGAGGCAGGAGGATTGCTTGAGCCCAGGAGTATGAGGTTGCTGTGAGCTAGGCTGATGACATGGTACTCTAGCCCCAGCAATAGAGCAAGGGACTAAAAAAAAAAAAAAAATCATATATATATATATTTTTTTTTTCGTAGCTTGTCATTTGTCCTTTGACCAATTTTTTAAAAATGCAGAATATTTTATTTTTATGTATCAAATTCTTCAATCTTTTCATTTATGGTTTCTGGATTTTGTGTCACAGTTAAAAGGGCACTCCCTACCAGAGGTCATGGAAAAACCTATTTTCTTCTAGTATTTTAACGGATTTAGTTTTTACATTTAAATCTTTGATTCATTTGGAATTTATCCAGGTATAGAGAATAAAGAATGAGTCCAACTTTACTTTTTAGTTTTTTTTTTTCACGTGCTTGACTTACTGATTTTTTTGGGGGGGGACAGAGTCTCACTCTATTTCCCTGAGTGCCATGGCAACAGCCTAGCTCACAGCAACCTCGAACTCCTGGGCTCAAGTGATCCATCCTCCTGCCTCAGCCTCCTGACTAGCTGGGACTACAGGGGCTTGTCACCACGCCCAGCTAATTTTTTCTATTTTTAGCAGAGACAGTATTTCACTTTTGCTCAGGCTGGTCTCGAACTCCTGAGCTCAAGCAATCCTCCTGCCTTGGCCTCCCTAAAAAGTGCTAGGATTACAGGTATGAGCCACCCCACCTGGCCCCACAGGGAACTTTTTTTTTTTTTTTAAATATGGAACACTTCACGAATTTGAGTGTCATCCTTGCACAGGGGCCATGCTAATCTTCTCTGTATCGTCCCAATTTTAGTATATGTACTGCTGAAGCAAGCACACACAGGGAACTTTTTATTTTATTTTTTTTATTTATTTTTTTTTTAGAGACGGGGTCTCGCTATGTTGCCCAGGCTGGAGTGCAGTGGCTATTCACAGGCGCGATCCCACTACTGATCAGCACGGGAGTTTTGACCTGCTCCGTTTCCGACCTGGGCCGGTTCACCCCTCCTTAGGCAACCTGGTGGTCCCCCGCTCCCGGGAGGTCACCATATTGATGCCGAACTTAGTGCGGACACCCGATCGGCATAGCGCACTACAGCCCAGAACTCCTGGACTCAAGCGATCCTCCTGCCTCAGCCTCCCGGGTAGCTGGGACTACAGGCGCGCACCACCGCGTCCGGCGAGGGAACTTTTTAAAGTGATGAAAAATGTTCTATATCTTGACTGCAATGCCAATTAAATTAGTCAAAACTCACAGAATTGTACACTTAAGCTTATGTATTATTGTATATAAATTTTAATTTTAAAAAAGGCTAAAGGATAAGAGTACCAAACGTAGAGTTATGCCAATATGTCTCAATACCTGAAAAACCCCAAAACTCAAGGTATTGGTAAGAAATAATTTCAATTTAAAAAAATTTATAATAGAGACGGGGTCTCGCTCTTGCTCAGGCTGTTTTCAAACTCCTGACCTCGAGCAATCCGCCCGCCTTGGCCTCCCAGAGTGCTAGGATTATAGGGGTGAGGTCAGGAGTTCGAAACCACCCTGAGCAAGAACGAGACCCAGTCTCTACTATAAATAGAAACAAATTAATTGGCCCACTAATATATATAGAAAAAATTAGCCGGGCATGGTGGCACATGCCTGTAGTCCCAGCTACTCGGGAGGCTGAGGCAGGAGGATTGCTTGAGCCCAGGAGTTTGAGGTTGCTGTGAGCTAGGCTGACGCCATGGCACTCACTCTAGCCTGGGCAACAAAGCGAGACTCTGTCTCAAAAAAAAAAAAAAAAAAAAAAAAAACTATTTCTGATTTTAATTAATAAGACTGTTCCATTCAAAGATGTTCAGTAAAATAAAAAACATTTTTGCTGGTCTAGAATAATGCCTGAGAAAACAAGGCAGAAAATTGCTTCTCCACATATGGCAAAACAAACAAACAAAGCAAAAATCAAAAAAACTTAGTCCAGGTTCTGCAGACTCTTAACTTTACTCTAGCTGAAAAAGCCATGTGCCTAAAAAGATCCCCCCCCCACCCCTTAAACTGGTTATTTATTTTAGTTTAAAGTAGTAAGACAGTCAATTACCTTAGGACATATAGACCAAGACTGGTGGCACTGAAACACAGCCACTCATTTCATACAACTGTTTTGGACTTTGACTTAAGAGTTTTCAATCAATAATCATAATGAGAAATGTTGAGCCTAGGGTAATAAATGGGTAATAATTTAAAGGAAGTTTTAATATAGTCAATAAACCAGTGTACCTTGGCTAAGGCATATACTTCTAGGAATCTGGAAACAGTATGATACCCAAGTGAACAAAACTTTCCACAACAGTATGCAGGGCTGGGTATTTCCCTGTATCACTCTTTGTAAGTGTTACAACATAACCTGAGTTCATTTAATAGCAACCATTTTAACTTACTACAAGCAATGCCTCAACATGGTAAGAAATCAACATGTGAAATCTGCCATAACTTTTTCACCCTTCTCCTACCTTATGGTGAAGGTATTTTTACTTTCCTGAAATGATAGCTAAGTCCCTATGGCTTAGTTTGGGTACACTCTAGCTACAAGAAGATAAGAAACCATTTGTCAAAAAGGGTGGGGTAGGTCAAATAATACTTGAATGCGAATGATTACAAATTCTGAGATTGTGGAAACAGACACAAGAGGTCATTCTCTCTCTGAATAAGTAGCTGCTAGAGAATCTCCTTAGAACTATGCTCTAGTCACTAAGAAACACAAAATTAAAATCTCTCAAGAACACTGTCATGAAGACAATTATTTTGTTTTCAGGTCAAAAGGAAACATGCAATTTCTGTCAGGAAGTAGAAATGATATATAAAATAATCTATAAAACAGAGTTTTACAATTCATGAGTTAATATTTACTGGCTTTAATTCTAGTCTTTTATACATTTAAGAGCATTTCTTACTTTTTTTGTTTTTTAATCTCCAATGTGTTGTATCTTACCTTTTTTGATACAGATGGTTTTACTTTCTTGAAAGCTTCTTCAAAGTGCTTATGACTAATCTTGAGTTTGCCTGTGGAGGAAATGCATAAATATACATATCTCAGTATAGTATTCTATTTTTCTTTCTTTTTTCTCTAAGATAGCTGTAGAAGATGAACTCAGTATAGTATTCTAATTGTGATTTATAACTTAGTATCCCTTGAAATACTACCAACCCTACAAGGGGAACATTGACATTACCGACGGAATAGGCTCTATTCTTTTTCAGAACAGTATTCAAGCCAGATATATTTTGCTCATCAGATTTTAATCCAGTACTACCCAAAGAGACTGCTCACTCATTCACTCATAAATAGGTAACCTTTTGTACTGCTGAACTTAACTTAATGGTGATGTTCATGAAAAAGAACCAGAATTGTTCTATTTTAAGATAATTCAAATAAATTTGACAAGGAATAGAAAGCAGAATTACATAGTATTTAAGAGTAGATAACATGTATTTAGATGTTATGGGGTCACAAATAATATATTTTTTATATATAATATAAAATAATGTCAACAATGGATTAGAAGGGGGTTATACTTTTTTTTCCAAGACTGAGTCTTGCTCTGGTAGAGTGCAGTGGCATCAGCATAGCTCACTGCAACCTCAAACTCCTAGTGATCTGATCCTCTTCTCTCAGCCTCCTGAGTAGCTGGGACTACAGGAGTGTGGCATGACGCCCATACTAATTTTTCTATTTTTAGATGGGGTCTCACTCTTGCTAAGGCTGATCTGGAACTCTTATTATTATTATTATTATTATTTTTTGAGACAGAGTCTGGCTTTGTTGCCCAGGCTAGAGTGAGTGCCGTGGCATCAGGCTAGGTCACAGCAACCTCAAACTCCTGGGCTCAAGCGATCCTCCTGCCTCAGCCTCCTGAGTAGCTGGGACTACAGGCATGTGCCACCATGCCCGGCTAGTTTTTTCTATATATATTAGTTGGCGAATTAATTTCTTTATAGTAGAGACGGGGTCTGACTCTTGCTCAGGCTGGTTTTGAACTCCTGACCTCGAGCAATCCGTCTGCCTCAGCCTCCCAGAGTGCTAGGATTACAGGCGTGAGCCACCGAGCCCAGTCTGATCTGGAACTCTTAAACTCAAGCAGTCCTCCTGCCTCGGCCTCCTAGAATGCTAGGATTACAGGTGTTAGCTACTGTGCCCTGCCCTAAGGTAGATCTTTTTGAAGAAAGGTAATCTGTAGTATTGCAAAGATACCCATAAACTGTAACTGATCACCCAATTGTCACAGCAACCAAGTAAAGTAAAGGCTATTTCTGTACTTGGCATGGTTGGAATGCTGAGTCACAAATTAATCTTTTCCAGCCACACACACCACAATCGTAAAATCAAAGACAGTATCAAATGTGAAAGATGGTGCAAAGCTATTGAGATGGCCTCCAATTATCATGTAATACATAGATTTTGTATTTTGAAGGAAAGTCTCAATATATGGAAAGTTATTCCAATTTTAACTTTTCTTCTTTCTGTGTACGTATTTTCTAAGCTTTCCAATTTAGGCTGCATTTTAACAGGCAAGTAAACATTATTTTAGCAAAAGAATGAGGTTTTCCAGAATAAAGACCAAACTCGTGGTGAAAACAGTGGATGAACCTATTTACCCATATCTAATCATTTGTATATGATTACGACATATTCTTTGTTTAAAAGAGATGTACTGAATAACTCTGCTCTTATTATAATTGTCAGTGACAGAGGATACATAACATTTCAGAATAGCCTTTTTTTTTTTTTTTTTTTTTGAGACAGAGTCTCGCTTTGTTGCACAGGCTAGAGTGAGTGCTGTGGCGTCAGCCTAGCTCACAGCAACCTCAAACTCCTGGGCTCAAGCAATCCTGCTGCCTCAGCCGCTGGGACTACAGGCATGCGCCACCATGCCCGGCTAATTTTTTTCTATATATGTTAGTAGGCCAATTAATTTCTTTCTATTTATAGTAGAGACAGGGTCTTGCTCTTGCTCAGGCTGGTTTCGAACTCCTGACCTCGAGCAATCCGCCCGCCTCGGCCTCCCAGAGTGCTAGGATTACAGGCTTGAGCCACCGCGCCCGGCCCAGAATAGCTTTTAAAGGTCTCATCAGAAAAATGTCAACTTTAATATCACAGATGACAGATGCTGGAAAATGGTTATTTCTTAGGGAAACAGTAGTAAGAATCAGAATTTAGAGAATCTGGGCCAGGCGCGGTGGCTCACGCTTGTAATTCTAGCACTCTGGGAGGCCAAGGTGAGTGGATCGTTTGAGCTCAGGAGTTCAAGACCAGCCTGAACAAGAGTGAGACCCCGTCTCTACCAAAAATAGAAAGAAGTTAATTGGACAGCTAAAAATATACAGAAAAAATTAGCCGGGCATGATGGTGCATGCCTCTAGTCCCAGCTACTCAGGATGCTAAGGCAGGAGGATTGCTTGAGCCCAGGAGTTTAACGTTGCTGTGAGCTAGGCTGACACCATGGCACTCTAGCCCGGGCAACAGAGTGAGACTCTGTCTTTAAAAAAAAAAAAATTAAAGAATTTAGAGAATCTGGCCTGGTGTAGTGGCTCATGACTTGTAACCATGACTTTGGAAAGGTGAGGTGGAAGGATCACTTGAGGCCAGGAGTTGCCAAGCCTGGACAGTGAGATCATCTCTTAAAAAAACTAAAAAAAAGAAGAATTTAGAGAATCTAGAGAGAATCTCACCGTTTACATTTCCACTCTTCTGTCTTGCCATTTCCTGTCTCAAGGCACATATGGAAGCTTCCCGTACCAAAGCAGAGAGATCTGCACCCCTATAATAAAAGAAGAGTTCTTATTTATTTATTCTTCAATACTGCAAAAGCTCAGAAGTGACTGTAATTTTCTTATAAGTGACATATTAAACAATTAGGAAAGAAACTGATCAATAAAGGTGAGATAACTGATTATGATCAATAGGAAAAAACTTTTAGCTTTCACTTAAAGTATTTCTAACCTTTAGTAGGCTGGGTGCGGTGGCTCACACCTGTAATCCTAGCAATCTGGGAAGCTGAGGCAGGAGGATCACTTGAGCCCAGGAGTTTGAGGTTGCTGTGAGCTAGGCTAATGCCACGGCACACTAGCCCAGGTGACAGAGTGAGACTCTGTCTCAAATAAAATAAAACAAAACAAAACAAATTTCTAACCTTTAGAAGAAAGGAAATTATGGAGGAAATGATACAGCGAATCATAAACATTCTCAGACTAATAGCTATAGATATTAATGTTAATATTAATATAAAACATCTACACAGAAACTCAAACATTATTTATTGTAATATTTTCATTCATAAGGGCCATGTTACAGTACTGACTAGCACATTGATGTATAAAGTAAGCTTATAAAAAAAAATTTATGGCTCCAAGTTCAAAAGGGAAAAAATACAAAGCCAAGAAAGTCTTTGATGCACTTGACTCAAGCTCAAGCTGAGTAGACACATTATAAATTACTTGAAATATGACAACAACTAAGAAGCCTTCATTTATTTATTATTCTATGTAGTAATACACTGAGTCAGCACAGTTCTATGAGTTTAATGAAAAAAAATTTTTTTTGAGATGGAGTCTCACTCTATTGCCCTGAGTAGAGAGCTGTGGCCTCAGCCTAGCTCACAGCAACCTGAAATTCCTGGGCTCAAGCAATCCTCTTGCCTCAGCCTCCTCAGTAGCTGGGACTACAGGAGCGTATCATCACACCTGGGTAATTTTTCTATTTTAGTAGAGATCAGGTCTAGCTCTTGCTCAGGCTATTCTTGAACTCCTGACCACAAGCAATCCTCCTGCCTTGGTCTCCCAGAGTGCTAGGATTATAGGCGTGAACCACCATGCCCAGCCTAAAAGTTTATATTCTCATCACACTCCTGAAGAGTAACCAGTGAGGTTTCAAGTGGAATCATCATCTTGATAAAAGATGGTTATGTGAAATTCTTCAATTAGAACTGGAAATAACTGAGTACCTATTATATATTACTACCAGTGGATATGTTCTTTGGCTGTCTATAAATATACATCACTGTGTGACAGATTTCTTAAAACCTCAAAGAAGAGAACACTGCCTTACTAGCCTTGGCTGTGGAAAGCACCATGTACCTAGGAGTACTGTGGGCACAAAGCATATTGTGGATAATCAACAGGGTTGTAAAAATAAGCCAGAGAGGGCAATGTCTCTGTTAGCTAAATTTGAGTTTCAGTTTCTTCCCTGTGCCCCCAAATAGGGAAAGTTAACAAACAGATATATTTTAAAACATATGAAGAAAAATCAGCAACTGTAACAACCATAAACATAGGAAGGCCAAAGGCAGAAATAACAGTTCTGGTGCTACTACATACTGTGTGGAGGTGAAAAGGCGTTCTGTGAAAATGCATTCTGAGACCTAGAAAAGGTGGCACTTGTAGATTAGTTTCTTTTCAGTGCTGAAGCACCTGGACAATCTGGCAGCCAATCATAAAATATCTACTCAAACATTCTGGAAGAATACACCAACAATTTGTAAAGGGCAGCAATGGTGGCATGGGTAGCTGGAATACCAAGAGTCAACATATTGGCCAGGCGCGGTGGCTCACGCCTGTAATCCTAGCACTCTGGGAGGCCGAGGCGGGTGGATTGCTCGAGGTCAGGAGTTTGAAAACAGCCTGAGCAAGAGTGAGACCCTGTCTCTACTATAAATAGAAAGAAATTAATTGGCCAACTAATATATACAAATGATTAGCTGGGCATGGTGGCACATGCCTGTAGTCCCAGCTACTCGGGAAGCTGAGGCAGGAGGATTGCTTGAGCCCAGGAGTTTGAGGTTGCTGTGAGCTAGGGCTCGAAAAAAAAAAAACAGCAGTTGCTTATATTAGCTAGGATAGGAGATGTTTGGACATTTTTGTATCTTGGACAATGTTCACTCTTTGTCCAGGTTCAGACTTGATTACAGACTGATACTGTTTTTGTCTTGATCCATCACAGCCATAGAGTGGCCTTGTCTGATGTCCATATTCTGTGGAATTATTTATAGTTAATAGGAGAACACCACAGCCTTCCTGTGAGGGCCCAACCAGCTTACAGCAACCATAAGGCCACCTGATACTAGGCTAGTTGTTAGGGGCTGCTCATCTCTTTATTATTTGCTTAATATTTCCAGATTTTCTCTCATGAGAGTGTATATATGCCTATATTTTGTTTGTATAAAGAAGAGTCATCTGGCATAAATGTGGAGAGAGAGGAGGCTAGAATTTGATAGAAAATCCTTTTAGCCTCCAAGCACATGTTGCAAATATAAAAAAAGAAGAAAACCAAAAAAGCCTTTTTTTTTTTTTTTTTTTTTTTAAGACAGAGTCTGACTTTGTTGCCCAGACTAGAGTGCCGTGGCATCAGCCTAGCTCACAGCAACCTCAAACTCCTGGGCTCAAATGATCCACCCGCCTTGGCCTCCCAGAGTGCTAGGATTATAGGTGTGAGCCACTGCAAGATTGTGGTTTAGACTTACACAGTAAGTTCTCGGCATCTGTGTTAAACGCAAGAGGCCTTTTGGTGATTTATTCTCTTTGACTTGAAAGTGTGTTGTTCCTTAAATTCTGGTTGTGTCCTGTTCTCAGACTGGGAACCTCACTGTGTAGAGCTGCTCAGGAGGAACAGAACCCACACATGGCTTTCCCTCTGCCCAGTCTGCCCCAGCTGGGCCTGGTGTCCTCTGAGGAGAGCTCCTGGCACTGCAATTTCGCCTCCTTATCTCATTTGTTCCCTCCAGACGCCATGAGTGTTTTTGTTTAAAGAACTTTGTTAGGCCGGGTGCGGTGGCTCACGCCTGTAATCCTAGCACTCTGGGAGGCCGAGGCGGATGGATTGCTTGAGGTCAGGGTTCGAAACCAGCCCTAAGAGCGAAGACCCTGTCTCTACTATAAATAGAAAGAAATTAATTGCCAACTAATATATATAGAAAAAATTAGCCGGGCAGTGGCGGCGCATGCTGTAGTCCCAGCTACTTGGGAGGCTGAGGCAGAAGGATTGCTTGAGCCCAGGAGTTTGAGGTTGCTGTGAGCTAGGCTGATGCTACGGCACTCACTCTAGCCTGTGCAACAAAGCGAGACTCCGTCTCAAAACAAAAAAAAAAAGAAAAGAAAAGAAAAGAAAAAGAACTTTGTTGATGGCTAAAGCTAAAACAAGCACAGGGAGAGGAAGCAGAATATCTCATTTCAGCGAGGAGAGGCCATAGGGCAGACTTCTTGCCTGTATATATTCTTTGTAAGTCAATAGAAAGTGAGGAAAATTGGCATTTTTAATGTTTACCTTTTGTTTCAAAGTTTTCTGGCTTTTCACTTTAATTCCCCAAATTGTTTTATATACAGTTTCTTCTTTTTCCTATTAATATCTGAAATATGGGGGGATTGGAATAAAATTCTTTAGTTTTGCTCTTAAAAGTTTAAAAAGATTTGTGAGTCTGAGCAACTTCTTTTTCCTCTTT